TAAATATGAATATAAATATGAGTGTATATTTATGTGTGTGCTTGTATGTGTGTACATATAGAGAGTCAGACAGACATATACAAAAAGTCAGACAGGTAGATAGAGAGGCTGATAGATAAATAGATAGACATTTAGACAGATAAATAGATATATAGACAAATAGAGAGAGGGCCAGATATGGAGACAGAGATACAGATAGATAGGCTGACATATAGATAGATAGATAGATAGATAGACTGACAAATAGACAGAGCGAGAGATAGACTGAGAGATAAAAAAAACAAAACAAAAACAGATGGAGAGACAGGCAGCACTTCCTTGCACCTTAATGATTGTATTTGATCTTTACATATACAACACCTCCAGTTTCGACTCTTGCATCCGAAGCATAGCTCATTCACTATTCGCAATGTCGTGTATTTCGGATCCAAGAGTGGGAATTGTCGGTTCACTTACTCGCTGTGCTGAATGGGGAATTCGGGAGTGGATGGAACGACGCTGTATTTATCACTGATACCTAAGAGTTGTTTTGTTTTGCATGTAAATATACAGAGAAACACGGGCGAAAGATCTGATAATTTTGACTGAGGCTTCGAATAGCTCACTGAATCACCAAGGAGTTCGAGATAAAAGAATTCAGTGTTCTTTCCTTGTTGTTTGTTCTCTCTCTCTTTCTCTTTTCTTTTCTTTCTGTTAAGAGGCAAGGCAGTGATGTCAGAGAAGAGTGGAAGAAGGGAAAAGGAGAAGTACAGAGGAAATAAGGAAGATCGAAGGGTTGAGGGAAGAAGGAAAGATATCGAAGGAATAAGGAATGGTGGGGGATGAGGGAGGAGGGAAAAGGACAGAGGAAACAGGAAACAGGAAAGAATAAAGAGTGAGAGAGGAGGAAGGATAGAGGGATTTAGGATAGGATGAGGGGTGAGGGAGGAAAGACAAGAGCGGAGCAAAGAAGGAAGTGAGAGGGGTGAAGCCGGAGAAGAAAAGGGAAGAATAAAGGAGGGAGAGAGAAGGGAGATTCAAGCTTTAAGGAACAGGAGGAACTGGAGAAACAGGGCATGAAAGAATAGAGCGGAAGGAGGGAGGAAAAGACAGCACTAGAGGAGGAGAGAACAGGAAGGAGGAAGAGAAGAAGACAGAAGGATAAAGGAGAAGAGAGAAGAAAGGGGGAGGTTAGGAAGAAAGAAGGGGGCATGATGAGAGGGAAAAGAGAGGGTCGAGGTAAGAGAAAAAGAGGAGGAAGAAAGGAGGAGAGGATTAAGGAATGGAAAAGAACGGTGGAAATCCATGTTCATATCTGTTCATACATTTGCATAACAGCATCCTTTACATGGAAGGAAAAAGTTGTCTCACAATTTTTCTTCCAATACTCAAAATTTTATCGATTATTCTTATTTGTTCGGGCATTTCCCACATATTAAGATTTCCGTTTTATTTTTTATTTCATTCTACGGTAGTGTTATATAGGGTAATGTAAACACGAACTCAGCAGCAAAGAAAATCTTCAGTAGACTCTACAGTTTTATTTTATTTTTATTTTCTTATTTATTTTTCTATGTCAAAGGGCCAGGTCGGAATTTATTAAACCTGAGGCAAGAGATGAATGAATAATTTACACTTCAGCATGAGATCTTAGAAAAGTAAGTCTTAAGAATTCCTAGAGACAGGGGACGCGAGCTTACGGTGTGGCTAAAACATTCCGGTTAAGCAAAAGGTTTCCAGTTTCCGTACTCTGGTGTTGCTTTCCAGAATTCTCAGCATTGTTAACAGTACGACGGAAATTACTGGTTCCGGAGACAGATACGACAAGAGTGAAAACAATCAGAAGACATTTTTTTCGTGTCTCTTCACCCAGACAGACACATACATACAGATACAGATACAAATGCAGATACAGAAACAGATACAGACACAGACACAGACACACACAGACACACACACACACAATTACACACACACAGACAGACACACACAGACAGACACACACAGACAGACACACACAGACACACACACACAGACAGACACACACACACACAGACAGACACACACAGACACACAGAACATAAACAGATATATATATATATATATATATATATATATATATATATATATATATATATATATATATATATATATATATATCTGTCTACCTGGCTATATATATATATATATATATATATATATATATATATATATATATATATATATATATATATACACACATATATGTATAATTTTATCCAATTCTGAACCTATTTACATATCTGTCGACCTACTTATGTATGTATACGCATATTTAAGTTCATCACGCTCAAATTCCACCCTTAT